TTTCTATTTCTTTGTATTTCTCCTAGAAACTGGCATGACCCTTTCCACATGGTGGGGGTGAAACAAATTTAAGTTGGTGAAAGAGCAAATGGCCAGGTAAAGACCCCTCTCTGGAGGCAATGCGAAGGGAGTGAATCATTTGTGGCAACAGAATGGGCTCAATGTAAATATAAACAATTTAGACTCTAAGACCCTTGCCCAAATATCTAGAGACCTTCCAGATATGCCAACTCTTGAATTTTCCAACTCTGCATAATGATTTGCCACACCTCTTCTTTCTCAAGCTGGCAACAATTTGAGATTCAGGATTTGCAACAAATCATGACCTGCTCTTTGGATGTGGTCCTCTCTGTGGGGATCACTGAGAACAGCTGATGGCCTGGCAGAGCCAACCCTGACCCTTGGGTACAACACTGACTCAGAAACCAACCCTAGAGTATGAGCTGCTTCTAATACAGGTAACAATTTTTCACTGATTTGCTGGTGGAAGGAGGCTTCTTAAGTAAGGTACATCAATTACTTAAGGTGCGCATGCCCAGGTCTGGGCCAGGGGAATAGCCTAGGGCATCAAATGAGGATAGAATCAGCTAGCCCAAAGTAGGAATTAAGACTAGAGCCTTGGTCTCCTCAGTCCTGGCGCTCTGCACCTGGGCTGCCTTTCTGGATGAAAACGAATTGCTTATGTGGGCTTTTTTAGAGGAACACGGCTTTTCTCAGTTTTTCCTTGGGAACACACCTCTGCTGAGACCCCTGTGGTCTGGTAACAGACGGTACAACCAAATGAAGCCTTGAGGCTGACCAGGATGAGGAAGTTGGGCGTCTCAGCCCTTTTCTGCCAAGAACCTCCCAGCCCAGGTTCTCCACGGTCTCCCTCTGACCTTGACTGGCGAGGCAGGCCCATCTGTCAAGCTTTCCATAAACAGCACACACATACTGAGAAAGTCAGGAATGAGGTGTCCTGCTTATTCTCTGTAAGTGATCACTCCACCAACTGTGAGCAGGGAAGGAGGGCCACATTCGATTATTTCCTGAGGCTACTGACCACATCTGCACACTTGCCCTCTTAAGTTGGAGCTGCTGACACCTTTTCCACCATAAGAAGCCCTCTTTTGTGAAAATGGCTTCTCCATCGCATGTCCAAACTTTCTGTAATGTTCCCATGTTTTGTCTTAAAGATGCATGTGGCTTTGGCATTCTGACCCACGTATCTCCATTTGTTTTAGTGTAATTTTTTTCTCTTAAATCTCCCTCCAGGAACAGGCACATTGACAGGCACCAAAGGCTTGCTCCAGCTTCACAGACCTTTTTGGACAAGTTTGACCTTAATCCATCTGACCCCAAATCCTGCTCTGCCAGAGAATCAGGGAGGCTGGAGCCAAGCACTGCCCTGTGCCCTCATGTGGCCAGCCAGCTAAGGCAGCAGATCAGCTGGTCAGGTAGGACATCGGCTGCCAGCCCATCTCAGTGCAGGAAGGCAGGCCTCAGAGTAGGTACAAGCCCCAAAGGGCATGAAGCGCTCACATATCTCACGGAAGAGGCACACTGGTGCCCCTCAGACCTAACAGTGTGTGAGAGAGTGAGAGTCAGATCACTCTCATTACAGCCAAAGTCCCCCCAGGACACCCCTGGCCCAGAACTTCATGAACCTCTGGTCCAGAGATCACAAACTAGAGTTGTGGGACTTGTTCATTTGGTTCTCAGGGTATTATTTTCCCCCCTTAAATGAGTTGCCTATTTTAAAAAATTCAACTATCAGAAGATTAAAAGGAAAAAAAAAAGTCAGATCTCTAGCTTCACCTGAAAAAAAAGAAAAAAAGAAAGAAAAAACCTTAAGACTTGGCACCTGTGGCCCTGGCCTCTATCTGGGCGACTTTGCAGCTGCCCCCTCCAGGGACAGAACATGCTCTGTGCTTCACCACAGTCCCACCACTCCCTATTATATCACCGTACCAGTCCCAGCCCCTTTCACTCTTTTTCATGCCCGCCTGGACCCTGTAAGCCTCAGAGTGGGCCACTCTGCTCTAGTTCAACAGCTATTAGTACAAGAGAGGAACCTAAAGCCCAAAGACATTAAATGACTCGCCCTTATTCAAAGGACCAGTTAAAACTGAGCTATGTGGCAACTTGCTTTAAATTTCACAAAGACCATCTCTGTTTCAGAGAAGCATCATCACATTTCTACTCCAGCTCTTCTCAAAGAAGGGAAAGGAGCTAGGAAAAGAGAGAGAATACTGTCCTTGCTTACCCAGAAAAAGCATATTTAAAATATCTCAGATCTTCCTAATCAAACTCCTAATCAAAGGAAGCTCTTGGACTCCTGGCTGATATAGATCAGAGATCTTGAAGGGGCACAAAATCTGGCTCCTCACAGTGCCTGCCCAGCCTCGAAGGCCCCATAATGCAGGTAAGGACTGGGACCTTTGCATTCCTGCATTTTGGGGGACATTTTCCCAAACACCCCCTGCCCCCAGGTCCAGCTGCTCTACCTTTTTCTGGGAGCTGTGGTAGGGCAGTTGGGAGCCTGAAAACAGACAAATGAACAGACAGAACAGCGAGGCCCAGTTTATGACTGAAACTACCCTTTGCTGGCAGGGAGAGCCACCTAATCAGCTGCCCAGGGACACCCAGAGGCCAGAGCTGGGCTTGGCGAAACGCCCTATTTGTATTCGGGATTAATAAATACCTTTAGGGTTTCCTCTGACAACATTCTCGAGAGAGGGGCACTTTGAACTTTTAGGTCACTGTGAGAATCATTAACAACCCACCCTACCCCCACCCCTGCCAGCTCAGCAGCCGACTTGACAATGAGCTTGAGCCATTGTGCCTCAGAGAGGCTGAAAAGCTGTTTGCTGGTGTCATTAACAGAGCAGAGACAAAACCCCACCCCAGGTCTTGCCTTAGAATTACCAAGTCCCTGGTCAGAGAGGGCCTCCCTGACCACCTGGTCTCTAAGGCCACGCCACACCACGCTGTATCAACCTTTATCACATTTCTTTTTCATCAACTCCCTAGAAAACATCACCTTCAACGGGACTGGATTTGTTTGCTTGTGTAGTAAGGTCCCCCACACATCATGAAGTAAAGCCTTGTTTGAACTGCTTGCAGCCTTTCCCCCTTTTTCCTCAAACACCGCCCACCACTTGTGAGGGGCTCAACAAATCCATCTGTTGGATGAGTGAGCAGCAAATCAACTGCAGTCCACTCCTGGGGAGGTCCCAGAGTCAGGGCCGCCCACCCGTCCCCAGACCACAGAGCCAGCCTGCCGAAGGGTCAGCCGAAGCCTGAGGCCACAAAACACACCGCATGCAGGGGAATGCACCTGCACATTTCCCAGCCCTGCAGGCCCAGCACACAGCAGACACTCCCAAGACGGAGGGCATCTCCACAGTGGCCCTGGACACATGAAGGCCACTGTGCTGTGGACCTGATAATTTCCAGGTCCAGACTTGCCTGGGAACAGGGACATTGTTCAAACATTTTAAAAGACATTTGAAAGTTAAAATATTTCCCCATTCTCATCTAGGAACAACCTCCTGTCCACTCTGTTACAGAAGTAGCTGCAGAAGAGGCTCCCTATACTTGGCGACCCCAAGACTTGCATCCCCGGCTATTCCTCAAGTAACAAAAGCAACACAGACATGGCACCACTGTTCTTGACTCAGTGGCAGGTTCAGGGAGTTGGTTAGATTATTCTGGGCTCCGGCAGTATTTCACAATAAAAATGAATAAAAGTAATTCATAAAAGAACATTCAGACACTGAAGGGAGTAAAATGACAGATTCCCTTCTACCCCAACCCCTGGTCTTGCTGCCAAGAGCCAACTCTACTAACAGCTTTTTTCCTGGTCCTTTTGGGAAAAAACCTGTGCACACATAGGTGCATATGCACAACAAATCCTTCAAACACATGCAGGGCATGCCATCCTGTACCTTCCTTCTCCCCCACTTAGTATCTCAGAGATTTTTCCAAAGGAGCAAATACAGACTGATCCAGAAATGAATTTACCTCAGTTTCATGGTCAGACACTCTCCTCCTGTCTTTATTGAGCTCAGGTGAGTGGTCCATGTGACGAGGCTGATCATGCCATTCATACATATCTGTGACCACCAGAGTGTTTATTGTGGCTCTTTTACAAACACCCAGTTTGGTGTGTTTGTTTTTCCCAACAACCTCTGAGCAGCCTCACGGATCCCTCCAGCCTCCAGCAGTAAAGCTGACCCACTGGGAACACCCACTATCCATACCCTCCCAGGTTTCCAGGGTCCCTGCCAGGTTTCTGTCTCACTCAGCCAGGCAGCAGGCATGGTGCCTGCCTCAACTACCCAGTGCAGAAGGTGGCATGGGCCTGACAAGAGTTACTCTGAAGGAAAAAAGTCTCTACTCTTTGTAAACAAGAGGAAGCTGGCACACTGTCTTGCATTGTGCTGAAGGGCATGGGGAGGGCTTATAGCTGCCTGTGACACATGTAAGGCTTTACTGAGTTCTCTGCTTGATAAGTAACTAGTTTACCACCGGAGCATAATAATGAGTGCCCCACGGGCACAGGGCTATACTGGGCCCCTCTCATTAGAGAGATGGACCCTAGCAATAGAAATGTCCCCTTATCCTCCTTTTTGCTTCTTTCTTTCCCTTTATACATTCAACAAACACTTACCAAGAAGTGAATTCTAGACCAGGCACAGTTTCTCTACTAAGCAGTAGAGAAAACAGACAAGTCCCACAGAAAGCAGGGAGAAAAAAAAGGAATACAATAATTGGACATCTCCCACTGTTTCTGTACCTTCAACACACAAACAGTCTGGGTAAAATACTTGTATTTAACATAACCAAGCTCTAGGCAAGAAAGGGCCTGCTCTAGGCGCCAGAAATGCTCTAGTGGACCCAAAGCTAAAACCAAGAGCTAGAGAGGGAACGGCAGGCCTAGGAGTTTAGGGAATGGATGGACAGGCCTCAGGAGAGGCTGGCTCCCAGCTGAGGCAGTAGAGTCAGCAGACACCTACTTCAGAAGATTTTCTGCTCCTGTTCTCATCCGCACAGCTTTCAGGATCTGCTGGTTCAAGGCAGCCCTCTGATTCTGCAGTTTGCTCCGGCCAGTTTGTGCAAGGGGATTGCAACCCTAAGGAAAAATAAGAGATGCCCCTCTGAAGGTCAACTACTCCAAAAATGACAACGATGTTTACATAACAGAAAATGTTTAAAAAAACCAAGCTTTTCTGAAAATAAAACTAACATCCACATGGAAAATAAACAAAATACTGAAAAGTATAAAAAGAAAATAAGAGTCACTCAAAATAACACAACTCCAAAACATTCACTATGAATTGGTTTCTTTCCTGACCATGTATTTTATATGCATGTTGTTATTTTCCATCTTAGTGGCTGTTTTGGGAGTTCCCAAGTCCAGTTCCAAGTTTGGATATTTGCTAGGACTCAGAATGTATTTGCACTAACAGCGAAGATTTGTGACGGTAAGGATATACAGCTGGATCACAGGGGAAAAACACAGGCAGTCTGGAAGAATCCACGCGCAGGCTTCATTATGCTTTCTCCCCCACTGAGGGGTCACACAGAGCACACTGTTCTCCCAGGAACAAAAATGCAACAAAAAATATGAGATGTCACTGTCCAGGTTAGCCCAGTAGAAAATCAGTGCCCAGAGTTTTTACTGGGGGCTGATCACAAAGGCTCCCTCTGCTTAGCATGTACCAAAACTCTAGTCTCCCAGAAGGAAAGTAGCTGTATATCATAAACCACAGGCTTCGTGCCATCAGTCTAGGGAAAGTAAGCCAACCTTATCAGTTAGGGGATGGAGGGAACACCCCAAGAGCCAGGTTCCTAGATGCAAGCAAGCCTTCCTAAGGAAAGCAGCATCAGGCATGCTGTGTTAACCCTTTTCTGCACAACAGCACATACAATTTGTTTTCTCACTTAATACCCTATCATGAAAATTTCCTTTATTATGAAATGTTTCTGGAAATTATGATTTTAATGGCCACAATATCGCCTTTTTTTTTTAGGATTTACCATTTCCTTATACCCATTTCCTTGGATATTTAGATTGTTTCCCAGTATCTGCTATTATATGTAATTATTTGATGCATATTTGTAAAGATGAATCTTAACATAACTCAAGTTTTTTTAAGGTATAGTTGTGGGGCAGAGTTATAAAGGGTCTAAACTCTTTAAGGCCAGCCCCCTCACACCAGCCCAAATATCCTCCAAAAAGAAAGGCATTCCCTTGTTCCCTCTCCTGACTAGCCGTAGGCAACCACAAATCTACTTTCTGTCTATGCAGATTGGTTTATTCTGGACATTTCATACAAATGGAATCCTACAAAATAGTTTTTTATGATGTACTTCTTTCACTTAGCACAATGTTTTCAAGGCTTATCCATGCTGTAGTGTGTATCAGTACCTCGTTTCTCCTTGTCTCTAGTACCCCCTTATATGGCTCTAACACATTTATACATCCATTCATCAGCTGACGGACATTTGGGGGTGTTTTCACTTTTTGGCTATTATGTATAGGGCTGCTTATTTGCATGTAAGTTTTTATGCAGATGTGTGTTTTCCTTTCTCTTGGCTATCTATCTAGGAGTGAAACTGCGTGTCACATGGTTAGTTTAATGTTTAACCACTTGAGGAACTGTCAAACTGTTTTCCAGTGGATATACTATTTTACATTCCCACTAACAGTACATGAGGGTTCCAATTTATCCATATCCTCACTAATACTTGCTACTGTCTTTTTTGTTTTGTTTTGTTATGTTATATAGCCTACTGTGTGGCACCTCACTGTGGTTTTCAATTACATTTCCCCGATGGTTAATGATGTTGAACATCTTTTTATGTGCTTACTGACTACCTGTATATCTTCCTTAGAGAAACATATATTCAGGTTCTTTGCCCATTTAAACCTGGTTTATTTTTCTTTTTATTGTTGAGTTGAAAAGGATTACAGTTGACCTTTGAACAACACAGGTTTGAACTGTGCAGGTCCACTTATATGATGTGGATTTTCTTCCATAAAGATACTGGAAAATTTTTGAGATTTGACACAATTTTTGAAAGAATTTTCTTTTCTCCAGCTAACTTTACTATAAGAATATGGTATATAATACATATGCAAAATATGCATTAGTCGACTGTTTATATTATTGATAAGGTTTCTGGCCAAAAGTAGGCTATTTACTAACAGTTAAGTGTTTGGGGAAGTCAAAAGTTACACACAAACACAGAGAAGACAAATAGTGACTCTATAGCATCCTACTACGCTGATGGACAGTGACTGTAATGGGGCATGTGGTAGGGACTTGATAATAGGGGGAGTCTAGTAACCATAATATTGCTCATGTAATTGTACATTAATAATAGCAAAAAAAAAAGTTATACACAGATTTTTGACTGTATTGGCACCCCTAACTCCATGCTGTTCAAGCATCAACTGTATTTTTAATCTTTGCCAAGTTGATATGCAAAAACAGGTATCCCATTCTTCCCATTTGCATTTATTATTAGTGAAGGTAAACATTATTTCTCATATATTATTATTGATCACTTAAATTTCTTTTTAGGGGGTTAACATCCAAAATATATAAAGAACTCATATGCCTCAACACCCAAAAAACAAATAACCCGATTAAAAAATGTGTGGAGGACCTGAAAAGACATTTCTCCGAAGAAGAAATACAAATGGTCAACAGGCACGTGAAAAGATGCTCCACATCATTAATCATCATGGAAGTGCAAATTAAAACCACAATGAGATATCACCTCACACCAGTTAGGATGGCCACCATCCAAAAGACAAGAAATAACAAATGTTGGCAAGGATGTGGAGAAATGGGAACCCTCCTACACTGTTGGTAGGAATGTAAATTGGTGCAACCACTCTAGAAAGCAGTATGGACATTCCTCAAAAAACTAAATACAGAAATTCCATATGACCCAGTAATTCCACTTCTAGGAATTTACCCAAAGAAAACAAAATCCCTGATTTGAAAAGATACATGCATCCCTATGTTTAGCACCACACTATCTGCAATAGCCAAGATACAGAAGCAACTTAAGTGTCTATCAATAGATGAATGGATAAAGAAGCTGTGGTACATATATACAATGGAATATTATTCAGCCATAAAATAAAGAAATCCTGCTATTTGCAATAAGATGGATGGATCCAGAAGGTATTACAATGAGTGAAATAAGCCAGACAGACAAAGACAAATACCATATGATTTCACTTATTTGTGAAACATAAAAACAAAGCAAAATGGAAGGAACAAAACAGCAGTAGACTCAGTGGTTACCAAGGGGGAGATGAGGGGGATAAAGGGGCATAATAATTTGCCACCACAATATAAGTTGGTCACAGGGACAGCAGTAATGCATAGAGAATATAGTCAATGATTCTGTAACATTTTTCTATGTTGATAGATAGTAACCAGACTAGGGGGGCTGAGGATTTAATAATATGTCTAACTGTTGAATATTTTGTGTTGTACATTTGAACCTAATATAAGATTGTCTATTAACAATACTTCAATTTTTAAAATATCTTTTTAGTCAATTCTCTGTGTTCTCTGTTCATTACTTCCTATTTGGATTGTAAGGTTTCATTCTGAAAAGTTTAAGGTCAGAATAGAAGTTTCATTTTAACCTGATGGTTTTCCTCCCACTGTAGCAGACCGAAGTCCTCAGATCTGAGTTGAGGGCTCCATTCCTTTTTGACCCCTTTGTCTTTATCTTTCTCCATTCCTCTATCTGTAGGTACTGCCCCTGAAGGGGCCGTGGTTACGCCCTGGGAGTGGCTGGTGGGCAGCACTCTGCGAAAAAAAAATGCCCTTTCCAGCTCCGTCACTGCTGTTGTAGCTCTGCACACACCTAGCCTGTCTCACCTCTGCCCAAGCCACGCCCTATGGCCTCGACCCAAGGAGGGAAGGCAGTTATCTATAGTTATCTACAGTCAAAACCTCAGAGATCCCTGTACCAGTGGCCTTTGCACAAGTGGGCCAGAAACTGAGTTAGGTCTCTCCTTCCACAAAGATCTCTCAGTCTCACTTCCCAGCCAGCCACCACCCACCTGGCCCCCAACATAGGCCCCCAAGTTCAAATCACACAGAGATTCAAAATCTGAGTTGGAATGGTCTTAACATTAACATCTTTCAAAACATTAAATGATCCCTGTTTTAAAATTAAAGTCAGAAAATTCTCTTTTTTTCCAGATATAAGATTAAAATGTCTTTACTATAGGAAGCTAATCTAATATTAAAGGGCTAAAATAATTGCCAGCCTCTTTCCTTTCCATGTCCTAAAATTACTATGAATGGTCTGACTGGACTCAAAATTACATGGTTCATTAAAGCTGTGTTCCATTTTACAGAGAAGCTTAAATAAGTAATTCTTTTAGGTGTGCTCCCAGAACTAAGATAAACAGCCGTTCCAGCTCTTGGATGAGAGCTCTTTGCTGCCTATATTTTACCCAACTTCTGGCTGGCCTGGAATCACTACGCCCTAACCAGCCCACAGATGTAGAGTCAAGTTTCTAGATAAGACAGAGGAATGCTTAGGATTAGATGTGACTGAGTAATTGGACCCAAAACTACATTACTTCTTACTGACAGGTAGGAATGTAAGGAGTGCTGGACACACCAGAAACGCCCACAGGGCTATCTGGAAACTTCCCCAGAAGCTCTGAGAGGTGAATCTGGGCAAGCCTGCCAGAAAGACCCCCTGGCATCACCAGAGGCTGCCAGCCATCCACCAGCCCCTGCCAGGGGACCTCTGCTGGTGGGAACCCATGTCCTCACTCACGCTGTGGTTCCTGATGGGTTCACAACAGAATATACAGGACCCTGTCGACACCGGAGTGAGGGTTCGTGTCAGGGACCAAGGCAGCAGCCAGCACCCATCATGTCTGTGTGGCCCAGGAACTGGAACAGCAGAAAGGGGACTGAAGTGTCCTGGCCTTGAGTGTCACTGTCCTATGGTGAAAGAGTCTTTCCACTACACAGCCTGTTGGTTCCCGACTAAGGTTTGGGCATTTGCATCAGTCTCAAAATATGGAAGGATGGTCCAACAGCTAATAACCCACAAAGCAAGTACTGAATAGAACCT